TGCTGGAAATAAATTTCTTCCGCTTTACTTGAACCCCCAGGTTTTTTATTACATCTTCTCCAGTTTCTTCCTGAGAGCAAAGTGTACAAATATCGTATTCAGAATCTATCAAAACGGAAACGATTTTCTCGAATAACAAGTTGTAATATAACAAACTTCGTACATTCACAAAATTTATAAAGATACATAAATTGGTTGATGCATAATAATACTTTTGCAAAAATAAATAGGATTTAAGCTTTAATTAATTTAATTTCTCTATATGCGAAAACATTCTCTTTTTTCATGTTTTGTATTTATACAGCAATACCTCGCATAGTGCGGATAAGCGTTTTCGTCAATTTACCGCACTTCTTGAAACAGGACTAATCAAGAACTTTAAAACAAGATGAAAAACGATCAATTATATATAATTATGAGTGCTATTTTTTCAAATTTAACTATAACATAGTGAATCCGGACTATGTGAAGTATTGTTGTATTTACTTTTTAGTTATTACGATATTGTTTTATATTCTATATTAGTTAAATAAATGTAAAATTACATAAGAATAATCCTAATTATTCATAACTAGTGCATCTGGTTATATACAAATATACACTGAGATATATTAGTATATTTTGTTTATGCTATGAGTCAATTTCTGTAAGTTTAATAAGTGTTTATAAAATTAATGTGAAAGATTTATGGTAAATATAATATAAAAGATAAAGTATAAAAGGCGTTAATAAAAAGTAAACCATAGTTTTTGTACGTGAAGTTTATAAATATAAACGGGATATATACGGTGTTAGGGTTTAAATTTAAAATCTATTGATCCACCTCCGAACCAGGTGTATGTAGGTATGTATGTATATCTACGTACGAAGCTCTAAAGCTCATATCGATTCTAGTGTGTAACAAGTTTACCGTGGTCTATGAAATTTTAGATGAGCCAAATATTTACCAGTTGCATCGAGCTTTTACAACACATTTCAGTTGGACGAAAGTTCGCATCGATTGGAACAAGTTCCATTTTTTGTTTTACGTTTTGTTTATTTCCCTTTTAATTTCCCCTCCCTCTCCAGATAACCAATTGTTAGCCAATCATTTTCGGGGACTTTCGTTGCGCTGCGAAAACTTTTGCTCGATTCGCCGATAAAAAAAACTTTCGCCCCGAATCGAAACTACAATAATTCTCGAATTCAAATTGAACTTTGCATAAGATTACCTCTTCCACTGTCTTCCCAATTTATTTGTGGGGGGTCGAAGGCGAGAATTGAATAGACGGCGACGGATCAATCCTGGGTTAACGGAGAATGCCATTATCTGTTTAGCGTGGGATTATGCAATAAAGCGCGGCGACGTGGCGAGCGGCGGTTTACGTAATGCACGTCCGAAATTCCATGCGCCTCGGCTAATAATGGGCAGGATTTAACTGCCGTCATTAAATCCTGATAAATCAGAACCATATCATGCATAATGTGTAATGGGCGTACGGACTGAGGAGAAAATAAAAGTACTATTGGGGCAAGGTTAAGACCCAAATTGCAGGGCAAACAAATTAGGTAAAGTCGATAGAATTTATTTCTTTTTGGTATGTTAAGGGTGGTTCTCTGCGGAATTTGGAGGTGGTGCATTGATCGCTGGAGCAAATGAAATGATATTAGGACCTCTGGAGATGAATCGGCGGCTCTTGGAGTGTTGATGAGATATAATTAAGGGAGTGTATCGGTGACGTATATGAGGTCCTAAATTTCGGTGTAGTGTTTAATGAAAGGGCACACCGCTTATATTTCGCGTTACGTGCTTTGGGAGCACCTCAGAAATAAATTTCGTTTTGCCGGAACAAATTTTAGGCCTCCACCGGATAATGAAAATGTTACTACATAAACTAATTGTAATCTCTTCGGTAATACAACTTAATTTCATCACATATATTCACCTCTTCTTACTGCTACAATAGACCTGTTTACATAGACTTTACAATAAGCGTTTGGTACAGCAAAATCCAAATTGTAAAGTTATTTTCTTGTCATAGTGATACCCATATACATTCAGCTATTTCTACTGTTACAATAGACCAGTTTACATAGACTTTATGATAAGCGTTGTTGCAATAGACCTGTTTACATAGACTTTATGATAAGCGTTGTTGCAATAGACCTGTTTACATAGACTTTACAATAAACGTTTGCAATAACTACAATTATTAAGTTATTTTCTTGTCATAGTGATACCCATATACATTCAGCTCTTTCTACTGTTACAATAGACCAGTTTACATAGACTTTATGATAAGCATTTGCAATAACAACAATTGTTAAGTTATTTTCTTGTCATACTGTTACAATAGACCAGTTTACATAGACTTTACGATAAGCGTTGTTGCAATAGACCTGTTTACATAGACTTTACAATAAGCGTTTGCAATAACAACAATTTTTAAGTTATTTTCTTGTCATATAGATACTCATATATATTCACCTCTTTCCACTGTTACAATAGACCAGTTTACATAGACTTTACGATAAGTGTTATTGCAATAGACCTGTTTATATAGACTTTATATTAAGTGTTTGCAATACCAATAATTGTTAAGTACTTTTCCAATCGTAATCATACTCATAGCCAAAAATATTAACGTATTCCTATTGTTATAATAGTCCTATTTACATAGACTTTACAATCAGCGTTTGGTACATTCAAATACAATTTGCAATGACAACAATTGGTAAGTTTATTTTTTATCATAGTTATAACCACATCTATTTTCCTCTTCCAACAGTAATATTAGACCTCTTTAAATAAACTTTACGATAAGCGGTTTTGTAGATCCAAATCCAAATTTTAATGACAACAATTGTTAAGTTCTTTTCTTGTCATAACGACACCCATTCATATTCACTCTTTTTAATGTTAGAATAGTGCTGTTTACATAGACTTTGCAATAAGCGTTTATAATGTCAATGATAATCAGAATCATTCTCATAGTCACATGTATTAACATATTTTACTGTTACAATTGTCGTATTTTCATATACTTTACAAACACCATTTGGTACATTCAAATACAAATTGCAATGACAACAATTTATCAGTTTTTTTTTTACATAATTCCTCTTCCTACTGTTATATTAGACTTGTTTACATAGACTTGAAATAGTCATACCCATAATCACAATACTAATAAAATGTGAGCTTTTATAATAAAATCACAATTTCACAGAAAAAAAAAATAAATATTCTTTTCGAGCACTTAAAAACTATGATTTTTGACTATTGTTTCTTAACTATTAGAATTAGAATTTTCTATGTCAGAAGGAAAATAATAAAAGCATTTTGTAACTATATAAAAATACGTGAATTTAATTATAATTAATAAATTTTATAAATGAATGCTTTATGAATTTAGTATGTAATAAATATTGATTTGCTTTTAATGAAACTGAAAGCAAAACACCTGTTTGATTACTTTTTACCCTTTTACACTGAAGATGTATCCTACTAATTACTAATTTACAGCGAATTAATAACAAAATGTCAACTTGTTAAGTTTTACTTCGCTGTAGTGAATTAACAGAGTATTGATCACACATAAGCTAATACCAACACGCTTCATAATTTATGCATTAATTGCGGTAGAGGAAAAACAAATGAAGCCATAATAACTGTTGTATTAAAGAAAAATATAATTATAGGAATTAAATGTTGACGTTAAGTATGGTATTCAATGTTTACCACTATGTAGTGTATTGATTATTTGATAATCTTTTCGGAGATTGTTGAAAGTTCTTCAATGGAATGATTGGACGCGTGAAAAGTATTATTTTATATGAAGCGGAAGTAAATGGATGAGACGAAGCTGTAGTGGAAAGAGCTTAATATAATCTTTGTGAGGGTCGAAAGACTGCTTTAGCTCTTCTACAAAAGGCTGATGATAAGATACAAGTGAGAGCAGATGCTTGGAGAAAAGCATTAACTAAATTCTAAATAATGCGAAAGAATGTAAAATGAAAACTGATATGAATGCATAAGCCATTTAGCAAGTAAAATATGTGATGTTAAGAGTTAAGTAAGAACTACAAGGATGTGGTTTAATGGTAGATATGGATAATAGTTTAATATATGTTATATAAATGTAAAAAAAGTTAATCAATTAAATAAATTAATATAATTATAAAATATAAGTAAAATAATTATGATTCTATTGATGACTTTAAAGCTCATATTGTAGGCATTAACATTGACTTTAGTTTTGTTAGTTTGGTTGCCTATTATATTTATTTATATGTACTAAAAAGGTTATGTTTTCCATAAAAACACATATGGAAAACATAACCTATTCATATTTGAATAGCAAGGATCTGAATAAGGGGTATATCAGTGTACAATGCTGTTCCAGAAGAAAATTGGAGGAAATAGGAATTTGCCAAAGACTAGGAAGGAGTTACGAAAAGAAGCTAGGAAACATAAAAAGGTTATTCGTAATGAGTATTACAAGAATAAGAATATACCAGGCAGATTTGTGCTGAAACCACCCGACAGTGATGAAGACAAGGAAGAACTTGATGTGAATACAGAGAAGGTAATATAAAAAAAAATAATTTTAAAACATTTATAAAATAATTATTATGAAAACTTATTATTTTATTGTGATCCAGTACAGTAGTTCATGTTTTATGAATTTTCTCTATATTCATCATTGTATTTATAGAAAATGTATCTGTAATCAATCTATAACATATTTTCTGTATTGAAGGTATTAAATTTATGTTAAATTATTTATTTCTGTTTTTAGGAAACTAATGAAAATCCAAAACATTTAAATAAGAAAGAGGTAATTATTGAACATTTATTCTTGTTTCAATTTCTTATGTTTTACTTATAACATAATGTTTCTTCTGTTTTTAGGAAACTAGTAAATCTTCAAAAGAATCAAAAAAGAAAGAGGTAATTATAAATGTGATGAACGCTTGTATTTGGTTTTAATATACAAATTTATTTATAATTTAGATTCCTAAAAATGAAAAGAAAAAATCCAAATCCAATATATCAGATGAGGTAAGTACAAATAATTATTATTGTAATTTGGTTAAGGATAATATCACTCTGAATTGTTGCAAATTGTATGAATTACTAAGATAATAATAGCTATGAAATAATCAAAGTAAAAATGAAATCATAGTGAATAGACCTACAATTGTATAATTATAGCTTGATTTGAAAATAGGACTAAGGTTAAATTGACTTACATGTAAGGCAGATGCAGTTGCTGAACAACCTTTGCAACAGACTGATTGATAAACGCCTTTCCTGTTTGTGCGACATTCAATCAACAGTTTTGTTACGCTTAATTTAACAAATCTCTGAGTGCGTTATATATTTTAATTAATTTATAAATAGCTTATTTTTACAGTGTTAATAATCAATTTTATTTTTTGTTTGTTTTTTTTGTAGGTTTCTGATGAAGATGAAATTAGCAAAAAAGACAATTCTGATGTAAGTAATGGTTGTTTTGCAAATTTAATTTATAATTAATTAACTTTGTTTGTAGGACGAAATGGAAAATTTGCCGGTGGAAACAATAATCGAGCGTGAAAAAAGCGAACAGGAGAAACTGCAATACCAAATGAAGAAAAATCGTGTAAAACAGTTGGTCAACGCGAATATTGAGGAAGAGCGCAACATAAAAATGCTGGAGAAGCAGCTGAAATTGAAAACGAAGGGGAAAAATAAAAACGTGTCCAAGTATTTCACGTCGGACGGCTTGGATTACTTGCTGGAACTTTACGACTCTGAGAACATGAAAGCCATTGTTGCTGCAGAGCAGCAAATGGACGGTGTCAACGATGATTTCGCCGAAGATTTCGCTTTAATGACAAACCGATCGATAACTAAAAAGAAACCTGAGGATAAAATTAAAAAGGAATCATCGAAACGTAAATTGAAGGATTTGGAAGAGGAGCAGAGTAAAAAGAAAGCGAAGAAGGTGGAAGAGTTTGTTGATGAGGACGATGATGATGATTTTGGTTTGGGGTACGAAAGTGGTGAAGAGGAAGAGGATTTTGATGGGGAGGAGGAAGATATGGAGGATGAAGGTGGTAGTGATGATGAATTAGGATCTATTGATGGTGATGATCAAGGTGATTTAGAAGACGATGATTTGAATGATGAAGGTGACGATGATTTAGAAGATGATGAAGGTGACAATGATTTGGAAGATGAAGGTGACAATGATTTGGAAGATGAAGGTGATTTAGAAGATGATGGCGACTTTGATTTAGATGGAGATGATGCAAAAAATAGTGAAGATGAGGGCGAAGCTAAAGTAAAATCAAGTAAAAAAGTAAATCCTGATGGGACATGGGAAGATATATATGGAAGGATGAGAGATAAAGATGGAAATGTTGTAAACGTAAGTAATTTAAAACGTGGATATAAAAATATACATATTTCATATTTTTACATTTTTTTTTAGAAAACGGAAGGAAAATATATTCCTCCTGCAGTGCGTGCAAGGATGGAGGCAAACTCTACTGGCGATAAGAAAAGAATAGAAAAATTAAATCGATTAAAACGCCAATTTAAAGGTATTTATTTTCTAATTAAATTATTCTCTATCATTTGTTAAATTGTTTATTTTATCTGTTCAATTTATATTAATAATGTTTTGTTTTCAGGTTATTTGAATCGTTTGGCAGAAAGTAATATGCACAGCATTGCAACGCAAATCGAAGAACTGTATATGAATAACAGCAGGAACGATGTAAACGAAATGCTGACTGGTTTAATTTTGGAAGCCGTCGTCTCTCAATCCATTACACCGGAGCGTTTATTGCTTGAACACATTTTGCTAATTACAATTCTACAGGCTAATGTTGGAACAGAAGTTGGTAAGTGCACGAATTGCATTCTCATTACGGAAATAGTATTAAAGTTCTCATTTAGGAGCGCACTTTTTGCAAAGCGTGATTAAGAAGTTCGATGAGCTGTTTAATGAAGATATACCAGTCGAAGACAAAAGATTAGACAATGTGGTCAACATTATAGCTCAATTATATAACTTTAAGGTATTTAATTACGCTTAATTTGTGAGCGGTTTTTATAATTGGATGCGATTTTCAGGTGTTCCAATCGCAATTGTTGTATGAAATTTTGAACAAGTTGTCAAGCAAGTTTGAGGAGAAACACGTGGATTGTATATTATCAATTTTAAGAAATGTTGGGTTTACTTTACGCAAGGATAATCCTTTGGCTTTGAAGGATTTGATCATAAATTTGCAGAAACAAGCTTCAAGTGCTTCAGAAGAAGTTAAAGACAAGTAAGTTAAACAATGTATAGTGATGGTTGTTGTTTTTAACTATTGGTTTCAGTGCGAGGGTTAAGTTTATGTTGGATGTGTTATTGGCAATCAAAAATAATAACATGCACAAAATCCCTAATTATGATACCAGCTACAGTGAACATCTGAAAAAGATTTCGAAAGGTTTCATAAGGAAAGGAAATTACGTTACTCAATTAAACATTTCTTTGGAAGATCTACTGAAAGGTTTGGTTGTTATATTTTGTTTTAAATTTGTTTATTTATAGTTGTATGTTTTCAGCTGATGAAAGAGGAAAATGGTGGGTGGTAGGATCCGCTTGGAGTGGAAAAGTCGATGATAAAGTGGATAAGGTTGAAAAGGTGAAGGGTGATAACTTCTCCCAAAAACTCTTGGATTTAGCCAAAAAACAACGAATGAGTACAGACACTAGACGTAATATATTCTGTATAATTATGTCAGCTGAGGTAAGTGAAACATTTATAACATTACAATACTACGAAATTAGTGAAAATTAATTAAAATTTAACATTCTCCCTCTTTGACGACCCTCAAATCGATTTTGGCGGTGGATGCGAAGCATTTGCATTGACATTCGTTGGAATAGGTTTGTCCATTCGAAGCGCAAACTGGTTTGTAAATCCTCGGGCAGTTGCATTCATCTCCAGCTCTGTAAACGGTATTGCACTCATCTTGCATGACAATCTTCAAGTCGGTATTCCTGGTACGCTTCACGTGACAGTCGAATTCACAACGATTACCATAGGTAACTCCATCAGATCCGCAGACGGGTTGGAACATCCTGTTGCAAATGCAAGGGACTTCTTTAACCTCGCGTTGCTTGCATTCTCCTTCATAGGCTATCTTCAAGTTAGCATCTCTGGTCTTCCTTTGGACGCATTCTAAATCGCATTTGTTCGGATAGGTTTGACCGTTGCTTCCGCAGATCGGAGCTAAGTTCATCGGGCATCTACACACCTCTTCCTTCGATTCGCATTCTCCTACTTTGACGATGCGCAGGTTTGAATCCGGTGATCCTTTGGACAAACACTCCAATTGGCATTTCGTGCTGTACGTTTTACCATCAGATCCACAGACGGGCATGTAGATCGCTGGACAAGCGCAATTCAGCGCGAAAGATCCGCCAACTGCGCACAGTAAAAGCAAAGCCACTTGCATTATGAACTTATTAAAATTGATCAATTCTCAGCTTGTATTCAACATCAAGTTATATATCAGTTCGATTTTGTTTATTTATAGATTATATAGATAACACGCGATAGCACCGATCATAATGGATCACCTCGGAAATATATTTTTGTACTTCTTAGACTCTCTGAGTCATTCCGATTACTGAGCGGAGATGCCTTATTTGCGAGTCACTTATTCGCATGCAATAAGATTTTTTTTTTCTTACGAATGCGTACCTGAACTAATTAGTAGTTGTGGAGGGGAAATTCTATAATATTACGTGTGAGAAATATCCCAGTTTCTGTATGGCTTCAAAACAAGTTGTTGTATCTGAATTATTTATAGACGATAAATATATTCATCATTGTTCTACTCAACTTTATATCTAGATTGATTGTATCTATGGAACATACGTGTCCATTATTGGAGATATGTTTGATTGCCTCATTTGATTATTAGTCTAAAAGCAATATTAATTAGTTTAATCATTATAACTTACAATTTATACATTTGCTTACCTTAATTATGCATTAACTATTTCTTATTTCCACTAATCCATTCTGCAAATCATACAAGAAAGAATCATATTCACAGACTTGTATGACTCAGTAGATGGTTTTCCCATGAATATTAATAATCACTGCAATTGCATTAACATTTCAATTGCTCATTTCCGGTTTTTAGAAAATACAATCAATGTTGTTAACTACCCGAAGTTACAACAAAAATGTTTTTTTTTTCTTCAATTAAATCAAAATGACAGAAGTAATTCATGTAATTAAACAAAAAAAAAACGTGACACAATGAAAACTTAAATCATAAAGTTTAGTATGGAACATGTTTTTAGTACACTTACTAAATGTTTTCTTCTAAAATAATACAACATTCTTAATGTTTATTTCATCTTAAGTATATTAATGCCGACATTCGAAATCCAGACTATATCGAAATCTCGACTATGTCAAAATCCGGACTACCATAATCCCGACAATCAAAATCAATAGTCGGGATTAAGATATATTCGGAATTTCGATATAGTCGGGATTTTGATTGTCGAGATTATGGTAGTCGGGATTTCAAGCGTCTGGATTTTAATACAGCCGGGATTTCGAACGTCGGGATTTCAATAGACGATTTTTCGGTTGTCGGGCTTGCGATATAGACTCTAATTCTAATATCCCAATAACATTACATTTAACTAACAACGTCCATTTTTCAATATTTGCGAAAAAATATTCAATAATCAAATTTTAAACCAGTAAAAACAAACTCAGGTCTTTTTCTGTAAATTTCATCAACTTTGTAGAAATATTTTAATTTTAAGAAGATTTTCTTTTAAAGAGTCCGTCGTCCAATATTTCTTCATATTCTGTGTAATTCTTCGCATATGTTTGAAACCGTTCTAATTGAGGACTCTAAAACAGTTTAGTTTGCTGAATTAAAATTTAATTTGTTTTCAAACCGTACTATTGTGAATCAGCACTGATAAAAAGCCGCACTTCGCGAAATTTTAATGCAATATATGAAAATTAATCATTAGCTTTTTTAACAGTTTTGATGTTAATCAAAATAATATACTTATGCTATTTTATATTTTTTTCAGGATTATTTAGATGCTTTTGAAAAAATCCTACGTTTAGGACTAACAAACCAACAAGAAAGGGAAATAGTACACGTCTTATTGCATTGTTGTCTTCAGGAGAAAAAGTACAATCCATACTATTCGGTATTGGCCCAAAAATTCTGCGACTACGATCGTAAATACCAGGTAAATGAATTAGCTAATTAAAACAAATAAATTAATATTATTAATAATTATATTTACTATACAGATGACAATAAAATATTCTGTATGGGATAAACTGAAAGGTCTGACGGAATGTTCGGCCAAGCAAATAAGCAACTTGGCAAAGATGCTGACACACTTGTTCTTGGAGAAGGGTTTATCTATATCCACACTCAAGGTAATGTTTAATTAGGTTGAGTGCTCTGTTTTTCTTGTGAACGCAAACATTGTTTATAGGTGGTTCAATTCGGTGATCTGGATAAGATCACGCTGCGCTTCATGCGTCAAATCCTGATAGGCATATTGCTGTTCGAGGACGTGGAGCAGATGAAGGAAGTTTTCACGAACGTTGCGCAATCGGAGAAGCTGAAAATGTTCAGGGAAAGTCTTCGACTATTTGTCCATCATTTTTTGCTGAAAAACATTAAATCTGATGCTGTGGATGACAGCCAACGGTCGCTTTTAGAAGAGCGAGCGTCGATCGTTGAAAAGATTTTGACTGTTAATGAAAGACGGCGATTCTGATTAATCAATAGACATTTATATCATTCTTAATTAATATCTGTTATTTAATATATGATTGTTAAGATAAGTTGTTTTGATTTGTCTTTTATAGCAGAAGTGAAACCTTAAATCACTTAAAAAGGAAGTTATTCGTCATCTATTTTTAAAGGAACTCTGATTTTATGCCCATATTTCAAATAACGGAAGAAAAACAGAAACTGCTAATTATCAAATTCAGTTCACATAATTTAAATCCAACTAAAATTGCATTTTAATCAATGTAGCAACAAATTAATCAGATTAGAAATTGTTCTACTATCTAAATTTGAGTAATAGTTCCTTTTTGAGGATATAGTGGAAATATACAAATTGCATAAGATTTCAAAATTTTTATTGGTAATAATTAAAGAAAAATGTAATGTGTAAACAATATTTTTTATTAGTCTCAATAATACATATAAATTATTGACAATTTGGATTTGTAGGAAGTGAAAATACAAATTTCATGGCTTCAATAAATTTCGAATTACTAAGGTTTAAACAAATAATTATTGATATACATAAGTCTTCATTGCGGTGGATTGAATATTGATGAAACTATTCGTAAATGTTCTCTTCTTCGCATCTGCCTTCTCTGGCAATACGCACGCTCCTGTTTTTCTCTTGGTAGCATTCGAATTCGCATTTGTTGTTGAAGGTTTTCGCGTCAGTCGAGCAGACGGGGTAATAGATCCTCGGGCAAGGACAGTTCACCCCTTCAGGAACAGCGTTGGCGTGAAACACAGCCAGAGTTACAAAAAGTGCGCAGAAAAGTATAGCTTTCATTGTCGTGCTGTTGACTACAGTAACTAACGTTTCGCGAGTGTTGTTAATATACTGCCGAGATAACTTATCTAATTCAATCGTCTGATAACGTGATTGTTTTAAATAGCATTGAAAGGTGAAGTTAAAAGTAAACATTTATATTTTTTGTCCTTTTATTATTAAATAAACATTTTTTTTTCCATATAACAAATAAATACAGAAAGTATCTTTATCACATATTCAATTTCCTCACAGGGGAAATATACCTGATTTTGTGTTTGTACATGTCAGTTGGCACAAGGCATTTAAGGAAGGTATAGGTGATGATTGCTGTGAGACCCCATATCCTCTTTGCACCACCGAAGTAGACTGGTGTGGAGTAACCAGTTTTGAACTGGGTGTATCCAAACTTATCACTCTGGCAGAGCTCCTCAATGGGTACAGAGAAAACTTGCTCCACCTCATCTGGGTTTATAGGTAAGGTACTTATATTGAGCTGACCATTGATGGTGCCTATCACTGGCAACACACTGGTCTCACCTCTGGCTACTATTGCATTACCTATACCCCATATCTTGACCCTGGACTCATCTATACCTAACTCCTCTTTGGTTTCTCTTAAGGCTGTTGATTGAAGATCCAGGTCTTTAGTATCCTGCATGCCACCTGGGAAGCTCACTTGGCCCTTATGTGACCTCATATGTGAAGCCCTTAAAGTGTACAGCAAGGAAACCTTGTCATCAACAACACACAGTGGTATCAAAACAGCAGCCTTCCTTGCTGGGTTTTGTGTCTGCATCCGAATGAGTGGCATTGCCTGGAACTTTGTCACAGTCCTAGAAAGGTTTTCTTCGCTCAGAATACGTTCCGCTCCATATTCAGAGAAGAGACGTCTTTGAATGGTCGTCAAACGCAATAGTTTATGCATTTTTGTACAAGAATTTCGAGGTTATTTTTGGACCCTAAAAAGCTAATGACAATCTTAAGTCACTGGATTACAATTAAATTCATTCCGTTTTTATCGTTGATTACATAACGACGCCTTTCCTTGCACCTCTATGCATTATTCACCATTCTACATTGCCACTGCAATTTACGAGAAATACGTTAACATCCAACAGGTTGAGCTACTGCAATTTTACAATATGCAACACATCATACATAACTGTATGAAAATTGAACATACATCAGCTTTCAAAAATTATTAAGTAGTTCTAAACTTATGGTTAAAGTTAGCCTTTTTATTAACCAACTTACTTTTCCATATAGCTACATTGTATATATTATATACAATCCAATTAGAACGACTTGACAAAAATGATTAAAACCTTAATAAGTTTGAATAATTTTATCATAGTATCAAAAATTACCAAGTTTACTCTTTATCCTTATAAAATATGCTACACAATAATTTAAAGCAAGTGTGAAAATATTCTTTACATTGTATATTTTATTTAATAAATTGTTATTAACATTTCTTTAAAAATATTTGATGGTTATTGATCTTTGCAAACAAACTTTTTCAATTTGGAATTAGCAGTTAAACAAATAAAATTAGTATATTTATCGTTTTTTTATAAAAGACAAAATTAAATCAATAATTACTGAACCGTTAATTAATTACTTCTTTTATTATAGTTTTATAATCTTTAATTAATGTGCTTTAAATAAGAAACAACAAATTTTAAAAACATTTTTATATCCTTTATTTAAATATACAATCAAAAAAAAATCATTATAATAATATAACTTGCAAAAAAAATCTGTACACGTTCGCTTAAAGTTAATGATAATTAAAAAGATACAATTTCCAATTCGTAATAATAATAATAATATTATATAAATCCAATTTGTAGTTTTTCTTTTGAAATAATCCGATTCTTTTGTAAAAGGCAAAGAAATAAATCCTTAAATATAAAATACTTAGTTCCTTAAGTATACACTGGGTAGGAAAGAAAATAAGAATATTAATAATATAAGTAAGTAAAGGACGATTTTAGGCAATATGAATTTCGCATTTCTCGTATAAAAATGTAAAAAGTCGTCTGTCTCACGCAAATATTCTGTCGTGATTTCCAAGTTCAATTGACTATTAGTTAGAAAAAATAAAGCGACATTTGTTCATTAGTAGGGTGAATAAAAGTACATTCCAAAAAAGAGGTTTATTATACAACATGAAGTCCATTTAGTAGTTAGTAAATGTCCAAGCGCATAATCCAATGTTATCCGAATTACGATGAATTAAATTTGTTTGTGTTGATTGTGGGGGAGGATTAAAGACTAGATTTTTTTTTATACTTTTCTGGTTTTCAATTTGCTTGGATTCCTAATGTCGCGTTTAGAAGTTGTTAAATGGGAGGGAAATTGTTGGTGGATTTATTGACTAACATCGATCGGGATTGAAGTTGTGAAAGTGGGCGTCTCAAGCTCTTCGTGCTTGTTCATCTTCAAGGCCTGTTGAAGTTTGTAGTGATTGATGATATCCTGATCGGCCGGACAGCTCTGCGTGAAAGCATCCAGTTGATACATGTGGTACATGTATCTCCAAAGAGAGGTAAGCTCTTTGGGGATGTCGAAGTCCAAGAAGTACTTGGCTGCAACGCGGATGTGCTGAAGCCTAGGCATAAGCTCGCAATCGAAGCAGCACATGGTGTCTCCGGTAAGGAAGCGAGTATCCCGTTTCCTCAGGTGCTCATCGATCCTCTTCAGGTGAGCTAGGAGCGGCGCGGCGTTCTTCTTGTCGTCCTTCTTCACCAGCACCAGCTTCAATTTGCCGTACACGTTTTCTATCAACGTGGCGACCTCTTTATCCTAAAAACATTACCGAGTTACAAACGTTCAAATTAACAGGATGCACAGAGGTAGATAAGCGTGAGCCAGTGCTAATATAAATTATCAACGGTAATCGATTTTTAGTTGCGGGGAAAGATAAGATAAGCAGCGTTTGCAGCGGAAGTTTTGGGACAAACCAACCACGATACTTACTTGCACGAAAAGGTTGTGTCCGCCTGGTACGTTCTTCATGATGTGCCTTTCGATCTTTTCGTTCTCCAAGATGGCCATGCCTCTGTCGATCAAGATCGGAGGTGGCGTGGCTTCGAAGTTGGTGCGGAAATCCGGTGGTGGCTTCTGCATGTCCACGGTGGTCACCTTCAAGCTGATCGTCTTCAATTCGGCCAGCAGATACAAGTCCATGAAATACTCCTGGCAGAAAAGGCAAGCGCCCTTCCGTCTTCCATCGATGGTCGACGCCTGAAAAGACAAAGCATCCTCATTTTACATAATATTCAAATTGGACAGATTAAAACTGTAGTTTAACGACTTCCTAAGCAAATTAACTGCAAACCCAAGTAGAATAAGCGCCAATTAAGCAGTTTTTTTTCGTATACCTCAATTTGCGAAATTAGATCCGAATGCAACTGGGACATTTATTACCAGCAACGGTATTCTGTTCATGTTAATTAGATATCGATTGGAATCGAAAAGATTATTCAAATTGTTTTGCATTTCTGTCGGAGGAAGACTTCAGACCATGGCGAGGCCTCGTCAAGCAAACACACGAGAAACTTGTAATTGCATGTAATTTCTTCGTAATTAACAAAGCATTATGCATGAGACCGATTCCTTCCAAGATTTGCTTAAAAAAATCGCTAGAACTGAACAAATTCCAAGTGGATCGTCTTCATATCTTTTAGGTCGTATGTGAATACCGGTAATATTCACTTTCGCCGGTCATGAAAGCAAAAAGGCAATTAAAATTGATGGAGCGCGCGAAATAGCTGAGTTTTAATTACGAAAATTTTGCTTTTAAACGAAAGCTCTTTCCTCTTTCACGCGAGAGCTCCGGCTCCATGCGAATTCCAAATCATCAATGGATTGCGAACGTTTCGCAACAAGCGTGACTCAGTCGATCGGCGAGAAGAGATATGTCGTAACTACCAAAAAATTATCCGTTGGTCAACGGATGGCCTTGTTCTACACACTTCCGGCAGATGTTAAAAACGTGCAGCCTAACATACTCTGCTCAAAAATTATCCAAATGCAACTATCTAATGGGAACTACATTTTATTCAATTGACATCAGCTGTTCAACTCAATCATCATAAATGTGTTATTAGTTACATTAGTCAAAATAAGACTTAATAAGTCAGCTAAGTTTTATATATTCGTTACTTTCATGAATATAAACTGCACCGGACTATAAGACGCACCCAAAATGATATCAATAAAAACATCTCAAATCTAAGTCGATTTCTTTACATAAAGTATTTTTAAATGAAAACCTTTAGCAAATTGAAATTATTATGTTAATAATAAACTGATTACATCAATGACATTGAAGCTTCTGATACTGTCCTTGTATATTCATCATTGAAAAAAACGTCAAGCTGACGTAAGTTACTATAAAACCACAATAGGAAAGTAATGCTTATAACGAACAAAAAAATACTAACTGTATATGTAATTAAATAAGAATTTTGTTGAAAAAACTGAATTGTTAAATCTTCCTATTTTTTTCATATATTAATAATTATTTATGTTCAATAAAAGAATAATTGTTAACCATTATTTAATATTAGAATATTTTATATATTTTATTATTGGAAATGATGCACGATTTTGCATTTTGAAGTCATAACATCAACAGTTAATACGTAGGTGTCTCCATGAATTGGAATGAAAACAAATGAATAAAAAATACTATCCATGGAATAAAAAAAAAGATAGTTTAGAAAGTATAAAATTGTTCAACGTATTTTATGAAATATTAGAAATGAAAACCGCGAAGGAAAAATAGTCAGCATTTATAAAAAAAATGTTGATGTACGCAAATACGACTTTTAATAACCAATCGCGAATTGACAGTAATTTAAAGTCATACGATCGTCTTACGCAAACGTTCACAATTTGTAGCTGCATGTAGTTTTGTGTATTACGTATTATTTAGATCGCTGAAAGGAAAAAATAATGAGTTACAGGTGGTCACGCGTTAATATTCTTTTTTTTAAAAGTAAACAAGAGTTTACAACTTTGGGTTTCGTAAATAATATATTTACAATATGTTCTGCAAACGTGTACAAGTAGTTTTTATTTCTGTGGAGAAGAGTAAGTTCTATTTCCTTGCCAGACTAGGAAGCTTTACAACTTGTAAACCCCTATTAGCATAAAACAATCATTCATTCGCCTTCTTCAGTCCCACCTTCAAAACACACCTCGCAATCTATCCAAAGCATTTTCTCTCATTGTTTCTTTATATCTTAAACACAATAAAGCTAATAACATACTTATTAAGAAAAAATACAAAAAAAATAGAAAATGTATACAAATATTAATACAGATATTTCAATTCAAAAATCAATTCAATTTAGTATGATAAAAGAAATAATTGCAAGCAACAAATAATGTATTAAATCCATCAAAATCCTCACAAACAGGAGGATTCATTACAACAAGATTATAACGAGGACAACAACTAAATAATGCAATGAAGGAAATATTTGAAACTATCTATAAACTACTCTATACCAGCGTTTCTCAACTCTTTTGTCGTAAAACCCAACTGCTACCCAATTTCTTAGAGTATTTCATCAGTTCCTGGCTTTGACATATTTCCTTTCACTGTGAATCTGCTGCTACCCTTAACACTGTCATTGTCTTGGCTGAAGGTCCATATGCTGAACCTCATTCATTTGACTGTCCATCTTTCATTTGACTGTGATGAATGATGGCCCTAGGTGGCTCACAAAGGGCCTACGAAATCGTGAGTAGGGCGACCTAACCATTCGGCTATTTTTCGCCTCATTTATATAATATTATAAAACATATTGTTTACACTAGAAAATGATCAATAAATATTCTTTTTTTTTTATATTTAACTTGTCAGAAATCAATGGAAAAGGAAAATTTAAATGTTTATACAAAAATAACCATAAACAAATTTAATTATTTTCAATATGAAGCGAAACCAGTTATTTTTAATACTACGTACATAATTTAAATGAAAAATAATAATAAATTATTTATTTTTATATGAGATATGTATGCAATTATAATATAATTGAGTCAAGGATTGAGTAATATTTATTATTAAATGTTGAATTTGATTTGATTTCAAAACTTTCTAAGCTAAATGATATATTTACATAGAGATTATATAAATAACATAATTAAATTATTGATAGCAACTAGTTGCATTCGAAGTAAACATTTTCTTGATCTTAATTCCTCAAACTTTTGAATAATCGTATTCAAAATCTGGATTAATTTACATAATTAACAGTGTTTCTAAACTTAATTTTTTGGGGGCCTAGGAGTAACACTTTTTAGGAATCCTCAGTAAAAGAAAGTTTAGGTTATTTGTGCTTATTTTTTAATTCCCATTTGAGCCCTGATATTGGATCTCCAATAATCTAATCTTTTCTTAAAATATATTTCCAGATGTTGGTCATAAGTAAATTGTACTTTGATCATCAAAACTTTGAGAATCACTGCATATTTCTATCAAATATAACATTTCATCAAGTTTTAGTTTTATTAGTAAACATATATTTTACTAAATATTATGAATCATATATACTTAAGAAAATGTAAAAAATCAGTAAATTTTTCATGTGAGTAAATCATTATAAAATACAAAGCAAGATTAGCTGGTTACTTAGAACTTTGGTATGTTATCTAAATTATCGCAAATCATTCTAAATATATATATTTGTACTGTTTATTGTTCTCCATACGTGTTTTTTTATCAGCTTTCGATGAATTTAAGCACTTTGTACAACGTATATGAAAATTCTGTTGAAAATAGAATTTGAACGGATGCAGAGACATTTAGAAAATGTCTTCTGCGTTTGGCGATGCGAAGGAAGAAAGCGAGTACGGATTGGTCAAATATTATTAAACCATCAAAACGGTTATGCTGCAGACTTGTTCTTCTTGCACAGCCACAGAGAAAATCTGCTTCGGGATGAAAGTATGTAGGATAAAAATAATGAATCAATACTTTCCAACTTAACATACAAAATCACAATCACCTGAAACAATGATCCGTTCCCAATCCATCGGAATTTATCCGTAACAACAAAATACGTGAACATTAACAACAACAAATTATAAGAAATATTTGCGTTTCTACGTAATAACAGAAAGGCATTTTCGTTTGTGCCAAGCCAACATATGTTTATTATTTTCACTCCTCCGTCTTCACTTTATTTTTATTCTGTTTTGTCTGCAATATGAAATGTATTCCGCACGTTTTTAGCATCGCTTCTCTTTTTTAAGTTGATACGATCAAGTAGAGAGAGATAGAGAAAAGAAACGTATCTAAGTAGTAACATCACATAGTAACCCAAATGCATCACAACTACATCCCAATACATTCGTAATCCGCTTCGTATAAATATTTAATCGACCCAAATGCAAACTCAATTTGATACCGTTTGTCGCGCTGTGGAATGCCTCGAGTCATCTTAAATCTTTCTTTCTCTCTAACATACATAAATATCGCATGGTCTGGTGATTGTTTCAACACTCTTTTCTCTAATATTATGTTTAATTACCATTTATTAAATGTTACTGAAGATGAGCTAATATGAATTAAATTCTGCTCTGAGATGAACAACACTGTCTTTCTTTACAATTATCCTAAAATGTTAATCGTGCAATATTGAGACGCTCGAGGCGTTCTTTATGTCTGTGATGCTCCAACAGCGTGATGAGAGGGGGATGTAGGAGTAGAAGAATTTGCAATCGAAGAGGAGTGTATCTTCCATTTAAACTCCATTCTATACAGACAAAACGTATTTTCTAGTGCAGTTTTGTTTAATTTAGATTATGATAAGATTATGAAAGAAAACAATACGTTTAGTTATATTACTAATATTCGTAGCAGAATCCACCTTTGTTTTTCGGTTTATCTACCGACTAACAAAGATATGGCTATAAATAACTGCTTAGACTTAAGTCATTTTACATTTCATGTATATTTCAGTTACCTCGCTTTTGAACTAAAAACGAAATTAATGTACATTGCTTGTTTTTAATTATTTCTTACATAAACATTGAAGATTTATTGTCCCAAAAATCAAAAAATTGTAAATTTTAGGTTTACATATCGAACTTTGTGGAAATAACAGATATAAAATTGTTTGTAAAAATTTGATATAATATTTTAATTTTGTATCAATTAAAAAAACAAAAATTTGATTTAAAATGTTCACAATTTTAAATTTAGACATGGCAAATCGATTATAAAA